CATGCCTTTTCTATTCCCCTTGTTCAGATGACCAAGGGAGGCTGTTTTTTGTGCTTCAGGCTAAAGGAAGCACCCCAAGTAATGTCCTTTGATTCATTCCTTGGAAAAAGTTGTTTAAGAAGAGCTTGAACTATTGGAGAGAAACTTTTGTTTTCTTGATGGGCTGATAAACACTGAGTTAGGGGTGATAAACACTGTGTTATATCAACTGCCTGCCGGGATGCTGGGTGGGAGGGAGGGGGCACTCTTCCCTAATCGGAGTATCCTGCTGGCCATGCACCCCACCCCCCCTCAGCCCAGTGTTATGGAGGGGAAGGGAGGGCAGCTCTAGGTCCCCTAGCTTCTATCCTGAGCCACAGCAGGCATGTGCCTGCATTTCTGGGATTTCTGTTTTTTTGGAGCTAATCAACAGATATCTGAGCCACGAGCAGTTGTATGTCCATGCCTTTATGTCCAGGATCCAGTTACATATCCATGTCTGAGCTTGGGGTCTGACCTGACTACCCAGCTAGGAACACTGAACCAGGACCATACAGGAGTCTTGAAATCCATCCTCTATGGAAGAAATGCTGAGACAGGGGCCTTAGAGCAGCTGATCCCGTGTTGTCACCTCAACTGGCAAGAGCTACTGAGCCACTGACTCATTAAGGCCAGGATTTGCAGAGCAGATATGCGCACTGAAGGTCCCCAGTCAGGGAGGGTGCTTAGAGACACTAGCCTGGCAGTTTAGGATTGCTGAGTGGGTACACAGACAAGGGCGAGCATGAGAGTGCTTCAGTTCTCCTAGGTTTGGGGCCTTGGCTCCCCAAGATCTTCCCTTACTCCCCCAAAACTGCCCACACTGCTGGAAAGAAGGACAACCAGGTAAGAATCTGATGAAGTAAACTTGGCAGCTACTTCTGATATGTGTAATGCTGGGTGAGGAATGGTGCCTTCTTAAATGGATAGATCTCCTGACAATAGGACTAGTTTTCTGGGCAACAGTTGCCTTGGTGTGGCAGCTCCCAACCCAAGTATGCATATGGTGGCCCCAAGCAGTCTGCAGGCTTCTCTGTCTATCTAATTCCAGGCCTGTCTGGGGTCCCAGTCATGCTAAGAATCCCTTTCTGGTTGGCAGGCTCCCCATATTTTGTTGCCTTTTTTCAACTGTGCTGGGACACCTGGGTTCACCTTCCCTCCATTTCCACGATTTTATCATTAGCTCTGGCAAATGCTCCCTCTCTCTAGTAGCTTGCAGTGCATGTTCCCTGGCTTTAGGTACTTTGTAAGGCAAATAACCCTAAAATATTAATCAAACATGAACATGAAATATCAAGGCTTAGGGAAAAATCAGATTCTTCACAGTTTGCGTATTACACAGGGAAGCATGGGATCGATAGCAGAGCAGATGAGAGCTGGAGCATCAATGCGCTTGCTGCTGCTCCTTGCTTGGGAAGTGAACAATCAGTGGGATGTCTGGGTTCACGCACCCTGGGGATTTGGGCAGCACAGCAAGTATGCTGTGACTGGAGTACCTCAGTATGGTAAGCACAGCAGGTCAATCCTACATGGCTATACTTTCCTCACTGACCAGCATACAATGCATACCCAGACTGTACCAGGTACATTCAACAGCTCAGCGGACACATTGTACCTGGTGTGTTGCACAGGTTAGCATGCTTTACCTGGCACGTTCCTGAGCATGGTGAGTCCCTATGCCAGAAAGGGCATAGTATATTAAGCTAGTAGCCTCTACTTAAACTATTGTTGACACAACAACCAGTACATAAGGTGTGTTATATCAGGTACAGTCAGCAGCTACCCCCTACAAACTTGTGGTGCATGTATGTGTTTATATCTGGGAGATCCTGGGCCTGTTTAGCTGCATAGCAAATGATCCCTGTAATACTTACAATCTTAGTACGTAATATCTAGTCCCTTTAGTGTAGGAATCAACATTTAATCTAGTTAAAATAAACATATTACATTTCACACTGAATTTCACTCTGGTGGAGCATACCCAACCACTGATCATTGCAGAAGCTGAAATCCTCCATTTACTCACAGTATGGTCAGCAGAGGAATTGCCAGAATGCATCAGAGCCAATGCCCATCTCACTCAGCGGCCAGCACCAGATGCTCCTGAGGAAGGTCCATGAACTCACCCCCTACAGGATCAGATGTGGGGTAATATGTCTCCCCGCATCAGCCCTTATCCTGATGTCTGGTAATTAGAGATTATTAAACCCTGAAGTGCCACATTTAATATCCTTCTCAAAATTTGCTGTTGTAAATGCATGATTTAATAACGTTGTCCCTTGCCAGTGCCTCAGTCCTGACCAGAGGTGACACAACACAAAGAGTGCAGCTCAATTTCCACAGTACTTTTAAACCCTTTGTCTTTCTGTTGACATGTCTATTGTCATGGAGTGAATTGGGCTGAGACCTACCAGCTTCTTTCACCTGCTTGCTCTGGATCATTAAATGGTGCAGTTTATGCTCTCCAAGGACCTACTTGGAACCAAACTGGCAGCAGCACGTACTTCATACCCCACCCTCTGCCCCTGATCCATGAAGTTTCCCAGCTCTTCTTTCATACCAGAAGGAAAAGATTTCCAATTTGCTTTCAGCTAGTTCAAAAACCAAAATGCCTTCAGTTGGAGTCTAGGAATTTTGCAGTCCCAGCCAAACTGTGACCCTTGGAATCACATTGTGCTTTTTATATTTAAGGCACTTCTGCTATTGCAAATGATTTCTTTTTTTATGGTGAAAATGAGCCAGTTTTCTATATAAGGGTGAAATCTGCAGCTGGAGAGAAAATTAACAAAGCTTAATGACTAGGATGCTGTACATTGAGAGAATAGTTAGTGAAAGGGCTATATACTGCCATTGGTCCACAGCAGGCTTTCCTCTAGGGATGATTGAGGGCTATAAACTGAGAATAGCACCCAAGAGGTACTGTTATGAATAAGCATATTGCCTTAACGGGTCTCAATAATGGAATCTATCTACAGGCTCCATCACTGCTGTACAAGAGTTTTCCATCGAATGTACGTCTCCTCTCAGCCCCCCACCCTCCAAGGCAGGGAAGTGCTGTTATCTTCTTTGCGCAGATGGGGAGCAGAGGCACAATGCTGTGCAGAGGCCTAAGCTAGTTCTGACTGAGCCAGCTCAGGTGTTGGGACCAACACAGCCTGGGGAAGCAGTGGGAAGTGGGACTAGCTGGAATGTGTCTAAGTCCAAAACTACAATCTTGGAGACCCCTGCTCTGCTGCTGCTACGCCCTGGAGGCAGATGATTGCCAGACAGCTTTTCTGTGTGACCTGCAAAGTCCCCAAGCCTCTCAGTGATGCCCCAGCATTTGTCCAAAACTGCCCCTGTCTTGATGGAGCTGAGCTGAGCTGAGTTCCTTGGTGTCAAGCTTACAGCTGGGCCATATGAGGATCCAGGACTGACGTGTTCTCTGCCTGAGTCCCCTGAGGGCTTGACTTAGTAAGCATCCTCAGAGCAAGCCCAGTATGTGCTGACAGCTTTGGGCTCCCTCCAAAATGCAGTTGATGCCACTGATTTCTCTTAAAATGTGGCTGGAGGCAAAGGCTAGTGGTTAAATCTCTCCCCCAGGAACTGAGACATGGGGTCAGTTCTCACTTCTACTTGAAACGATTCCAACCCACATGCCCCAGGGGCAGGTCCTAACCACTAGGCCTTAACAGGATGGGGGCACCACCCACATGTTGGAGTTTGGCTACTGTATAGAAAAGGATTCAACATCCATTGGGCCCAAGGGAGAGAGAGCACATGAGAGGGCCTGTTTTCTATTCTGGTAGTTAGGACACTTACCTGTGGAGAGGAGTCCTGGGATTTAGTCTTTTCTCCCGGGACTGGTTTGAGTCATACTGCACTTCTTTAATACACGTTCAGAATAATCCCGGGAGCAGATCTGCAGGACTTGTTATGGGGCTGTGTTATGTGCCCTTGTATTGGGGCACTCAAAGGTCTTTCTCTCTGTCCCTCATGCAGAGTGGGGCAGAGAAAGAAAATGCTGCAGAAGCTTCTAACAGATACCTGCTGTTGGGATCCCTGGGCTCTGCAGCTATCCTCATTGATCTGCACCCATACTTTGGGTCCTGAAAGTTACTTAGCTGATGCCTTTATTAAGTATCATTTATTAGCTCTCATTTATTTATTAGTTTTGACATGCCTGGGGAGAACAAGCTGTTGGTTGTTCTTTGCTGATGTCATGTTCTGAAATGATGTCATCATGAGACTTGTTTTCAAGCCAGTTGTCTAATCTGACTGCACAAACCCTATGTAGATAAGAGACACTGTTCTCCAGTCAACTTGGAAGGGCAATCAGGAGTGCAGTTTGATCAGAGTGATTTCAGATGCTGTATTGGCAAAGGCAGCTCTGTGTTACAGAACATGTTGCTGCCACATGGGGATGGGATGAGGTTGTTCTGAGATATGATGGCATAGAAATCTCACTGGGGTTGCTTAATGAGCTTATCTTAAGAAACCACTCACTGCTTTCAAAGGCATGGTCGCTCAGAGTACAGCCAGTTGCAGAGAACTGGGACCGACATAACCTCTCCCCACCCTGGATAACCAGCCTACCTCCCACTGCCAATGCACTCCTACCTCCATGCTCCTCACCCACAACTGCATACTCCCTATGCCCACCAATCTTCCTCTGCAACACTCAGGGTTTGGCCATATCAATGCAGACCTTCACTCCAGTCACTTTCCTTTGCAACCATGCAAAAATACCTCACTTGCCTGAGACACCCATCTCCCACCCCTTTGCCCCACTAGCTAGCCTCTTTCTCCAGCCCTTCCTTTCACCCAAGCTCACTTTCTCTCCATCCACTTGCCTTTGTGCCTACACACAGACTCTGATGCAGCCTATAGAAAGCCCCTTGGATGTCATGGGGTCCACTCCTGGACTCATCATCTAACAGGATACCTCCCTCCCCTCCCCTCAACCTGCCGCCCATCGCAGCCAGATCCAAAAGAGCCCAAAGCAGTTTATAAATTACATTTTTATTTGGGTTGGGGGAAAAAAATGAAAAACCAAAATCCAAACCAGTCTGATGAACAGGTGGATGCTACATACAGGCTAGAGGGTGTGTGAGCATGTACAGTGTTCAGATACAGATATGGGCAGGGAGCAGGTACAGGTGATGGGAGCCAGGGTGAGTGTGTGTGGGTATAGGGCAGTTCAGAAGTGCTCCCTCAGGACATTCATTTACCAGACCAGAGAGGTGGCAGCCGTCTCTGGAACTGGGGTGGAGCAGCGCTCAAAGGCAGCTTATAGCCAGCAACCTTTGGGGATGGCTGATTAATAGCAGTGGGGTCCAGCAGTTCCTGCTGGTTAATAACCCACCTCTTATCAACTGTAGATCTCAAAGTGCTTTACAACAGAGGTCAGTATCATCACCCCCATTTTACGATGGGGAAACTGAGGCACAGAGAGGGGAAGGGACTTGCCCAGGGTCCTCCAGCAGGTCCGTGGCAGAAGCAGGAAGAGAACCCAGGTGCCCTAAGTCCCACTCTAGTCCTCTGCTCAGTGGTCCACGCTGCCTCTCTGGAATGTACGATGGATTGGGCACTGCTTCTAGTGACAGTGATGATGACCATACCCAAGAGACAGTGAGGTCTTGAGTCAGAGGGGTGCTTCCAAGGCCAAAATCAGGTGAGTCACACCTGCTGTGAACTCCTCCAGGGTGCTTTGATGCCCATCAAGCACCAGTCACACCTGGTAAGAATAGCTAGGGAATGTCCCATGTGTGGGTTCTCTGATGACAGCAGGGACTGAGCTGCAATACAGACTAGACAATACAGAATAGACTATAAACCAGCAGCGATTGCTGTCTCCTTCCACTGGCAGCATACCCTGGTTTGCACAGAGCAGGCTTAATGACAGGATGGGGGTAGATATGGTGAAGAGTGTGAATTTCTGGGAAGGAGCCTGCTAGGAGGAGGTTAGAAGCATGGAGGTGGTTCTGGGGTGGTGATGCTTCAGCAAGTGGTGGAATCCAGCCCTTGTTACTGAGGTCCATGCAACACCCAAATCTCCAATAGAAAATCTTGACGAGTGTGTATTGCTTAAGGGACGATTTGGTTTATCATAAATATAGAGATATAGAATATATTATATATCTGATAGGATCCTAGTACCCAGTTATAAAAGCACACGCTATTGCATCACTCAGACAGGAGGGGGGTCCATGCACGTTGCATGCACTTTTAGTTTAAATGTTCTGCAAACAGCCATGCGAATCCAGGTGACCTCTCCAGCCCCAGGGCAAGGCAGGTGATTTGCAGACAAAGGGCCCTGTCTCCAGGAAGGGCATTCCCATCAGAGGCGGAGTCGGAGGAGGGAAACAAAGGATGTCAGTGAGGAGCCGGTGGGTGTCCCCAAGACGTGTGCCATGGAGGAAAACAGTTTGCTTTCTCCCCCCGTGGTGTATAGATTATATATATTTTTTATATATATATATATATATGTGTGTATATATATATATATTTATATTTATATAGGTATCTCTGTGTTTGTTCTTCTGGCTGACGGTCTCTCTGTCTGAGCTACTTCATCCCACTCCGCAGCACCTGGTTGGCGGCGATCAGCATGACGCTGATGATGAAAGCGATAGCAAAAGCACAGATGAGGCTCTTCCGGACACACGTCTGCCTGATCTGCTGGTTTGAACAGGCTGCAGAGAAAGCAGTCAAGGAGGTTGGGGGCAGAAGAGGGACAAGGGGTAAACAGGAAGGGAGGGATTGGACAGAGGACGCATGTTAGTTTAATGTCCCCTGCAGCCCTTCATTCTCAGGCTGATGTGGAGGATCCATCCCCACCTGCACCCCAAGGGTGTCTTCAGACATCCCTGTGCCCTCCCTGCTTGTAGCTTGCAGCCCACCTGCTAGGAAGACCCTCGTACATGAAGCACCATCCTGCTTGTCTGGCAAGTGCTGCTGAGGGTTGCTCCCTGATGCGAGACGGGTGCTGACGGGTTTGCTAAGGAGCCCTGCCACAGCCCGCTGCCATTTGGCATGCCGAGCAGCAGCTCTCCTGCACGGCACCAAGTGGTTCCTTCCTGTATTAACATTCGAAGCAACCTGGAGCCAGAACAGAACTGCCACTTTCTTAATTAAAAAGAAAAAAAATTGGGGTAATAGGACTCAGTTGATCTGGTTTGCTTGGTTCATGAATGCTTGGGAGACAGGTGGGGGAAGATGGTGTGTCACCATCTTCCTCACCCACAAGGCTGGTGGTGCCAGAGTACTCAGTAAACTCACTATGTTTTATATTAGGGATTGGTAATGTTTTCTGGCAGCGGGCTGGAATGACCCTGTTTTGGCTGAGGGTGGGCGACCATTAGGACCTGGCCACCACTTCTTGCTGCCACTTCTCCCTGACACCCAGTCTCAGTGTGGCATAGGTAAAACTCCCTGTCATCAAACACTGCCAAAGCCCCTTCTCCAGGGTCTGGATTTAATGGCTGCAGCCCATGGGCCACAGGTTGTCAACCTATTTTCTATGAATGAAAATCCCCATGGCTTCCACAGTGAACTAGTGTAGAAAATGTGCCGCTTCTAGTGGCAGAGGACTTGTGGTGTATGCATGGAGTTCTGTGACCTCCACGGTCAACGTGTTTAGGAATTGCAGCAATCTTCTGTGTCAACGGGAACGGCAACAGCCAGTGTGGTGTGAAGCACGGCTACATGTGCCCAGAATGGGATGAGCACAGCTGTTCGCTCCACATTTGCACCAAATGTAGTTATCTCCACCATCCAGGCATATGTGGAATACAGAGGCCTTTACTGCTTATGCATAAAATGTACTAGCAACTGTGCTGCCTGTGGTGTGTGCATGTGGGAGTGACTAGAACAGCGCTCCTTAATTTGAGAGTATAGGACAGGAGATTTATGTACAGAAGGCAGTGACATGAAGGGGGTGTGTACAGATCATGGCAGCTCAGTGGTCTGTGTGTTGCCCATGTGCCCAGAACATGGGGACTTGACTTGTTTTTGAGTTTGATGAGGAGTAGGATGGGGGCAAAGAAGCCTGGTATCAACCAGTCCTATTTGCAGACCTGATATTAGGCACAGAAGCCAGTAAGAGCAGAAGAGCTTATAGTAGCCTATCAGAGTAGATATAGTCACATAATTTTGGTGTACTAAGTCTGAACTGAATATGCACTTTCCTGTGTGTGTTGCTTAACAATGGCTATCAGTTAATTAGAATGAGCTAATTTGCTTAGAAAACAATTCTTGGTAAATAATTGTCAAGAAAATGTCCTCCAACTCTACCAGCTCACAGTGCCTAAGGCATGCCAGGGACATGCACAAAGACTAGCATCATGTCTGGCTGCCTTCAGTTCCCCAGGCTGAATGAACAGGTACCCATTTGCAACTGGGTCACTGAGGACAGCCTTTGGCACAAGGACAGAGTGGATTTCAAGCTCATGCTTCAGTGAGATTCCCCCATCCCTCAGAATAACAGTGCAGTCAAACAAATTGGAATGCAGCCAATCAGAGTACAGGAAATCACCCAGTAAAATAAGTTACAGACCAGTTAATGTTCTTAGGCATTTACACGGCAGCAGTATAACTTCAAGCCAAAATGCAGCCACCTCTGGAGTGGGATACAACTATGGTGAGCCCTCTCATTTATTCTCCTCTCTAAACTGAACAGTCTTGGCTCCTTCAGTCTCTCCTCCTAGGTCATTCTCTCTGGGCCTGTAATCATTGTTGTCACTGTCAGCTTAGGGTCACTTTTATCCTATGAGACAGTTTGATGGACAGATGTGTATAAGATGGGAAACTGCCTTCTGCATAGGACCTAGTACCACCTGCACTCAGTGCCACTCCTTGTGGAAGGGCAACCAGGACTTTTCTCCCAGACTTAGGCATTCCTGGGGGTCATGTTCGACTGATTCCTTTTAATGGATCACAAATGGCTTTCACCTACAACTTACTAATGTTTCTTTTCAGGTTAAGACCCAATAGGGCTGTGTCACATTGCTTGGGACACGAGAAGGAGGCATAATCCCAAGTGCAGTAGCTGCAGAGTACCATGTGAGCAGCAGGGAGGACAGAGGCCCTACTCAAGAAATTGTTCAAGATCAGTAAATTCCCGTGGGTGGCACCACACATCCTGGCATCACTTGGCCACCCAGACAGCATGCACAAAACTGACCCTGGGTCAGAGCATGGGACAAAGCACATGGCACCAAGCCATACATCTCAGGACTGCCCTCAGAACACTTGGCCGTCCCAACCCGCACTTCACTCAGTCCCTCAGCTAAGAGAGGGTAGCTGGTCAAGGAGGATGGTGCATCTCCCTGAAGTTACCCAGCCCTGCATTAGCTTCTGCTGTATCAAAGCAAACCCAGATCCTGCTTCCAGTGGAGTCAGTCATGCCTCTTCCACAGGTAAGGCTTGTTAGGGGCAACATGGCTGGTGAGGGCTGGTGTCACAGTGGGAGCAGAGACAGCACATTGTGACTGCCCACATATGGAGCTGGGTGCCCCTGCACGGCAGGCTGTGAAGGGAGCTGGGGGAAAATTGGCTGACAATTTTTTTCAGCAAAAAATGCAGATTTGACAAGCGAAATGTTTTTGTGAATTTGGGTTGGTTTCACTGAGTTGTTGCACAGAATGATCAACACAATTTGCTCCAACATTTGCTAAACAAACAGTTCCAGCTTCTTATTCCAAACAGCTTTTGAAATTTCCTTCTGTTTTCTTTAAAAAAAAAGTTCAGAACCACGCGAAATGGGGCACAGAGCCATTTCTTTGGCATTTCAGTTCAGGCTGACCTGAAAAAGAATTCTTTTACATTTTTTGGAACTTCCCAAAATCTGAAAAAAATGGCTGTTTGCCTTGATCTAACTGTGATCTCCTGGGCACCCTGACTATCCTTCTGTCCCGTATCTATACAGCATCTTGCACCATAGGGTTCAGGTCCATGACTGTAGGGCAAATACCAATAAGGAGAAGCTCTGCCTGTGTCTGCAGCTGCTGGTGGAAGGGGGCACTTACTCTCTACATCAACGGGGCATTCCTCAGCATTGCCCATGTGGCTCTCCTCTTCAGTCATGATGATGTTCTCAATGTCCTTCATGGACAGATGCTCGCAGAAGGTGTCATACAACAGCCTCTTCAGCTCGTCAACTGTCAGTTTCTGCATGTCGCACTGTGGTGGAGGGGGAAAGATCACGAAGAAGTTATGGCTCTCTCATGGGGGAATGCAACCCTGGCATTATTGTCATGGAAACTTGCATGGGCATCGTGTGACTTCTCTTTGCATGTTACAGGGCTGCCCTCACATGGGCTGCCCAACCCTTAAGCACCAGCCCCCTTCTCACAAGGGGTGCAGATTGTCACTGCCACCATCCACTCACACTTCAGCACAGTGGTCCCCATCATGCATGGGTCATAGTTATCAAAGAGTTGCTGCCTGTCACAAGTCATGTCAGAGCTGTCACATGGTCAACAACTACGTCATGCTACGGGGAACAGAATGAGCTGAAGGAACAAAGCAACAGGGCACAGCACTGTATACAAACGTGACAGAGGTGCTTCAGGCAGGGGACTGTGCTGCCTGCAAACACAAGATGACTATTTGCCATCCCTTCCACCCCCACACCCTTAGTCACACTTAGTGACACCAGGCTCCCAGAGAGCTGGAGACAAATGCCCTGCCTGAGCTCCATTTTCCCTTCTGACCATCCCTGCTTTGGAGTGCAAAATGCACCAAGAGGAAAAAGATGATCCAAAAATTAGCCCCAAACTGGAAACTTCAAACCAGCGCCTGCCTGGAGAGCTGTGCTGTGAGCAACAGCCTGTGGGGAGACCCATCTAGGGAGGCCCGAGGAGTTGCGTAAAACAGAGGGGATGCCAGGCTGAACACTGCTCTGACTGTCAGTGCCAGGGGAGTGCAAAAACCAGAAGAATCTGGCTCCCAGGGAATGGCACTGCTCAGAAAGAGGCCAGAATTTAACCTGCTGCACCTCAGTTTAGATCAGTGGTGTTAGGTCAAGGATGTATATGATCAGCAGCTATCAGCTACTCCTGGTCCTCTAAGAGCACATGTTAAGTTACATCTGCAAAGAGGCTCCTGTTGCAGTGTAATGCAGGGGCACAGAGACAGTTGGCGGGGCCTTTGATAAAGGAGGCAAGGTCCAAGCCAGATTTCCCTCTCACTGATCACCTCCAGGACTGTCAAGCCTTTGCTGTCCATGAGGCTTAGGTAGCTGCAGACACAGGTGTTGGGGCAAGGCCTTACAGTGGAGGAGCTGGTCATTGGTCATTGCTCCTTTAGGATACTCTGGTCAGGCTAGTGAAAACTGAAATGTCTCAGTGAAATGCAGCCTTTGATGCTAAGCAACTGCTCCCTAAGACTCAGAACAGACCAGGCTGTCATGTGAGTCTGCTAACTGCACAACAGTGATGTCGCTTCAGCTGGGATGTGTTTAGCATATTGGTGTTGAACTATCAATAGCTACATAGTGGGGATCTGTATGCACAGGAGGTGGGGGATTTGGGGTGAGATTTGGGTCCACTTTGCAGCAGCTGCCACTGGTGATGTTTTCTGTATTGCCCTACTAAGTGTGATAAGAGCACACATTCCAGTTTCCATCATGTCAGCTGTTCTTGTGCATCTCACTTGCCCTCACTCCTGTAGTAAGGGACAACATTTCTCTTATCCATCCTGCTCCAGTGCTCATGCTGCCTGCTGACCTGATCCCACCGATATCGTCAGCAGCCACTTTGGTGCTCTGGATAACAGTGATCTACTTGGGAGCACACTGCAGCTGAGAGGGTCAATGGCTTTTGGTGGGTCTCTATAGATGAGGAGCATTGGTGAGGTTTGGGCTAAGCAAGACCTCCTTCTTATGAGTAACGTCTTTCTCTTCATCCCCTCACTGCACTGGCTGCTCCTTCCCAGGCAGATCCCCAGGGATCTGAGGGAAAGACCAGGAGTGGTTTGTACCTCTGTGATTAGAGTCATGTCTAGAACTGCCATTCCTCTGTGTTCCCTGTCTCCGAGGAGGACTGTGTCTAGCTCAAGGCTTGGGATCTAAGGATGAGGCTGCAGTGGTGTCAGGGAGAAGGGAGAGCATGGAGACAGTCCTGGGCAAGGGGTACCTCCTACCTTCCAGAAGACAGTGTCGAAGTCTGTGCCGTGGAACTTCTCGGGGATCCCCGAGGTGGAGAGCTTGGGACCCAGTAACGTCACAAACTCCTCAAAATCCACCTGCCCATCCCCTGAGAAAGAAAGAGACTGGAGTTATTGCTCCACAGCGTGGAGAGCAGCAGCCCCTGGTTGGGCCAGTGGAGCCAGGCTGGCTCCCTCCTTCCCTCCCTTTGCATTGAGCATCAGCTGTTTACCTTATCCTTCCCCTCCTCTTTCTGTCTTGTCTCTCTTCTTCCTTTCTTCCACCTCTCTTCTGAGTTCATCTCTCCCTTTTTCCTCCCATTTTCCCTTTCCTTTCTGTTTAACTCCTTCCTTCTTTCCATCTCTCTCTCACTTGCATTCATCACTTCCCTCTTTTCTCTTTTTGTAGCTTCTCTCCCCATTTTTTCTCCCTTCTGTTTGATTGCCGGGTGGTATGAGTGCTTTCCCTGCCTTCTCTTTTGGAGTCACTTTTCCAGTCACAGTGCACTTGCTTTGATTTTTGGTTCATTTCCCCGCCTCCTCCCGTGGGTGACTTGCCCTCTCCTGGGTGCATTAGCTCAGATCCACCCAGAACTGTGCAGGATCCTTTGAAGGAGTGATTAAGCCTTCCAGAAGCCCTCCAGGTAGCTTTTGGAGAATGAATGGAGGTGGAACGCACAGGAGGGACCTGCCTTCTCCCTCTGTCAAAGTGCCAATCCACTGCCAATTTTTCTCCAAAGCCTCAGCCCTTCAAAAAAACCCAAGAACCCCAATGTATATCAGGTGCTGCACAAACACAGAACCAAGACATGGGCCCTGATCCAAGAAGCTTAGAGTGAGAAGTTAGAGCCTAACCACATAATCTATTTCTGTCATTAGGAAATTGTGCCTGTTCTTCCCTACCTCAATACTTTTCTTTGAATTTTTTCCTGAACACATTACTGAGAGTTTCTGTATACCTCTAAAAAATAGATGAAATGTTGGTAATGGTGGTTGGGGCCTATTTGCTTAATTAGTTTGAAAGAATCAGAATGCAAATCCATGCAAGAATTAGAAAAGGCAGAAAAGGATCTGTTTGAAATCCTTCCAACTGACAATATAATACTGGCAGTTCTGAGAGGGTCTAAGAGCGTGTTAACTGATGATCCTGTCCCCACACAAGCCCTCCCCTTCTGGCCCAGGGGGTGCTGGGGCAACTGGAGTACTGCCTATCAATTGCATAGCAGGATGCCAACACTGAGCACTGTGAGTTCAAAATAAAGCCCTGGAGGTCTTCCATTAATGGATCTCTGGAAATAGAGGCTTCCACATAGGGCCCATATGGGAAAACTATATGCAAGGTTGGGGTATAAAGGTAGCTCTGTAGCATAGAAGCTGTTGCTAATCCCATGCTTTAGGACTTTGCTGGTTGCCAGCTGGGGCCAGAAAGGTATTCCCGGCTCCATAAATGCCATCCACCTCTGGATGGGGAGATTTTACTTTCCTTTGTCATTGGCCACAGCTAAGACTATGGGGGTTTGACTGGGGTGTGATGATAAGCCTGCAAGAGCCAGAAGCCCAGAGGTTCCTGGCTAAGGAATCTTATTCTTCCACTTGAGGTCAGGAAGGATTTTTTTTCCCTAGGTCAGACTGGCAAAGACTGCAGGGGTTTCTGCCTTCCTCTGTAGCGGATCTTATGGCCTTATACCAACATGAAGAATGCACTGCATCTAGAAGCTTGTCTAAGTCTATCTCAATCATGCAGTTGGTCCAATAAAAGATATCACCCACCGAAATCCTTGCCTGTCACATATATATTAACCATCTACTTCCCCATCATAGCAGTGGCAGGGCACTGGCAATTCCCTCATCTCCCGTTCCTGTAGCACACTATGGAGTGTTCTTGGTGTTGCAGACATAGTTCCATGTAGTTGTGGGTGAGCAAACAAAGTGGTGATTTGGGTTTTTTGTGGGGGGGTTAAAAACAGCCTGAGAATGCAGAGGCCTGTACTCAGCGGTCCAGGAGGCCCTTTCCAGCCCCACATTTCTATTACATTGAAGTGTCCTTGCCCCTGCTCTGTGTAGCCAGGAAGGGCAGGTGGCCTGCAAGTTGGAAGCAGGGACTGCGTGTGCCACAAGGACACGCCAAATTAAGCCACCAGTCCCAGCAGAGATGCATGGTCAGTCATTGACCTGAGTGCAGTCTCCATATCTGAGGACTCAAAGAGTAAAAGAGAGGTACAGAGAGACAGAACAGGATGAAGGAGAGAGAAGGACAGAGAGAGCTGAGAAAAGGGAGGCAAAAAAGATCTGAGTGGGAGACACGTGAGCACAACTGAGGGTGAAAATCCTGAACTGGGGAGAGACACTTATATCATCAACCTCACCTGTGTCCCTGAACAGCTGTGACCCTCTGCCCATCTCTACTGCCTTCCAGGCAAACCTTCTTAAAGTGCTTGGCATGCCCATGTGAATTAATCCTCACCGTCTGCCTCGCAGTACTGTAGCAAGGGGGACAGGACAGACATACATACCTGGATGCCATGAAAACTATAGAAAGCCTCTGTTGGCACTGCCTCCCCCTGCTCTGTTCCTTCCCACCCCATCCAAGAAGATATGATATGATACCCTGCTTATGGGCTCAACACAGCAGGAAAGTTGATACCTTGGGACATGAGAGACCTGCAAGATTGGGCTGCAGCCTCTGTCTGGCATTTGTAACTATCTACCCCTGTGATCTGGTGCCTTTGCCAGAAGAGTCAGCAGCCTCTGGGTAATTATTAGGGGATGCCAGAGTTAATTATCTCCTTTATGCTGATGATAACTTTGTTCAGCTGTCAAGGGGGAAACTGGGCCTCTCCAGAACTGCAGCCAGCAGCCCGATCCAACAGTAAGTGGGACACTCATAGTCAATAAACCATAGATCTGAGGGCTCTGTGAACCACAGCCAGCAAAAGGTAATGAGAAATTTAGTCACACTTCACTAGTGAGGCCTGAGCCTCACAGCAAGGGCTGAGCCAGAGATCAGCATCCCAGGGTAGGAACCAGGGAAGATGGAAAGTCCAGTCAGCACCTCTAATGCTGCAGGAGAAATGTTGCTACAAGGGGAAACAGGACACCACTAAGGTTAACCAGATAAGGTGGGAAAGAAGTTGACAAGCTTTGGTTGAATCTCCACTGGAAATGGAGTGGTGTTTGGCTCCCAATACCACGTGTCCCATCTTTACCCCAGCTCTTAGCCATTCTTCATCATAGGATCACAGGAAAGTAGGACTGAAAGGGACCTCATGAGGTCATCTAGTCCTGCCCCAGGATCATCCCATTCCCTGACTTAAGCATCCCAGCCAAGATAACCTGCCCTTGAAAATGTCCAGAGATAAGATGCTATAACTTCTCTAGGCAGCCTGTTCCAGTGCTTGACCACCTTCATAGTCAGAAAGTTCCTTCTAATCTCCAACCTAGATTTTCTCTGCTGCAGCTTGAGGCCATTGCTCTTAGTCCTGTCCCCATATGTGTACAGAGAATAGTTTATCTCCATCCTTTCTATAATCACTCTTCAGGTATTTGAAGGCTGTTAGCAAATCCCCCTCAGTCTTCTCTTTTCCAGACTAAATAATTCTAGGTCTTTAAGCCTTTCCTCATGCATCTTGCTTCCCAGGCCCACAATCATTTTTGCTGCTCTGCACTGGACTCTTTCTAAACTGTTCATATCCTTCTTGAAGTGTGGAGCTCAAGACAGGACACTACTCCAGCTGAGGCCCTCACCAAGTGATGAACAGAGTGGAAGAATCACTGGTTGTGGCCACACGAGATGCTTTACTGCACAGTAGACTAATCTACTGCACAGTAAAGCATCACTATTTAACTGTGTGCTAGGCTATTGTGCAGTAAAATAGGCTAATGCACAGTTATCTACTACCTGAAAATACAGGTAGTAGATTAACTGTCCATTAGCTACTGCATAGCAGTGCATGTGTAGATGCTGGCCAGGCATAATTTGCTCCTGGTTGGCCCAGACAGCAGGGGACCTACTGCTGCCTGGCTAAGCTCCATGTGGTGGGAGCTGTGCTAGCTGAAGGGGCAGCTGTCACTCTGCCACATGGGGATTGGGACCATCCTGATCCCCACGTGGCCAGGAGAGCTGTCCTGGCAGCTAGGATTGTTGCATCCCAGTCAGGTGGGGAGTGGGTCAGGACCTGATCCCCATGTGGCAGAGAGAGGTGTCCCTGTCTGGTGGGGACAGCCACATGGGGATCAGGAGAGTATGCCTCTCACCACCATGTGGGGATTGGGATCCCCTCCAATCCCCACGTGGCTGCTAGGCACCCAGTCACATGTGGATTGGGTCTGATCACCACATGGCTGGGATGCAGCAGTCCCAGCTGCTGGGACAGCTCTCTCCCCCCATGTGGGGATTGGGACTGGCCCTCTGCCCCTTGCCAGCCTCAGGCTAGCACCTGGGGGGCCTGGAGCTCCCCCTGGTTGCTGCAATGGGGCAGAACAGGACAAAGGGGCAGGAACATCCCTGTCTTACCTCCTCCAGTTGAGAACAAATTTGCTTCCAAGCCAGTGCACATGTAGACCCTTTCCCTGGAGGCTATTTACTACTTCTTTTTTGATGCCCAGTAACCTTACCATGCACTAACAGCACACATAGACAGGCTCGCTGTTGGCTTTTTTGCAACAGGAGCACACTGTTGGCTTATATTCAACTTAAGGACTCCTGTAACCCCCAGACCCTTTTCTGCTGTACTGCAGCCTAGCCAGCCATTCCCCAGTTTGTATTTGTGCACGCAGTCATTCCACCGCAAGTGCATGGCTGTATTTGTCGTGGCTTGGCTGCTCGTGTGGGTGGAGCCCCTTGCTCCTGGAACAAACTTAGCTGGCTCCTATAAAGAGCTAGAATCAGGACACGCCAAACTCTAAGGGGTCACGTTCTGGTCTTATCTTGGTGGGTCAAGATCCTCCCCAGGCTGTGTGATGAGGTCTGGCATAAGAAACCAAAGCCATACTTTTCGACTGGGCTCCTCTTCCTTCAGAGAGACCAGAAGGGTGGTTATACATGCTGCTGTCCTAACCTGAAATCTTCACAGCAACTTCATGCTGCCTGCACCTCCAGTGGGCTTGACTGAACACAGCTTTGTATCATCATGTGATGACTCTGTTCTGCAGGATAAAGATCTTGGGAAGAGGGAAGATGAATAGGTTGTGGTGCTGCGGGTGGGGCTGCACTGGGCCTGGAAATGCTCTCACACTAGATCCAAGGGAATGGGGCTTTGCAGCATAACTTCCCTTTCTCCCATGACTGGCATTAACAAGCTACTTTGTAGCACCAGCCAAGTACCAAAGATCCCTGGAAGTCAACTCTCTCTGGAGCCAGAGTCCCTGTGGCATGGCTGATCTACATGGCTGGGGCAAATGCACTGTGCTACTTGCCCTGCATTTGCCTGTGCTGGATCTGTCTTGTGGATAAAAAGGACTTTGGTCTCCAGGGCTGTCAAGCCAGCACTAAAAATGAATAATGAAGGGAGCTGATGACTTGGCAGCCCTGCCCAAAAGGCTTTTAGAAGAAAAAAAAATCCAATAAATTAACAAGCTGTTTAAGAGGATCAGTAAAGAGTGATGGGAATAGGCTCCAATGTGATTCAGCAAGGAGGGAGGCTGGTTCTGCTCGCAGTCATTCTCTCTTTGTACAGTGGAGCTGCTCTGCATTTACACCTGTATCAGTGAGACAGGAATCCCATCCCATGTGGGCAAAGTAAAGGGCGTGGTTCTGTCCCTCTCCCCAGCCCCTAAGCAATGCTGCGGCAGCATACAGGGGCTGACCTGTGCAGCAAAGGGGTTGAGGGTGAATTTTCCCACTACAGGTATGGAATAGGGCTGCTGTAAGCATCCACACACTGCAATCCTTGGCATAGTGAGGATGCTGAGACCAGGGAAAGAGAATATCCATAACACAAGCATGCTGCTGTGCAGACGCTGGATGCTTCAGGCAATGGAGGAGCCCTCAAGCAGCTCTTAGGAAGCAGTTGTAAACTAGAGCACCACCTGGGCTGTTCTATTTAATAGCAGGGTCCAAACCACTAAAGAGCATGGAGGTGGCTGTGAGGATGCAGCTATAAAGTAAAGCAACCCCTCAGCTGCTGTAATTTATACCAGGGGCCACTCAACCCCAGAAGGGTCCAGAATCTGAAGGGCACAGAGAATTCAAAACTATGTTAAGACCTCTTTGATTAGTGCTGTGACTTCCGGAGGTGCAACCCCAAGTCCTTCCTTTACCTACCTGCCATATCGCACCCCAAGATTCCTCCCTTATATATCTGCCAAGACCTGAGACCAGGGTTTCATATTCCTATTCCTCCTATAGGTATTGCTAGCAGGGGCGCTGCTGGCAGCAAACTCCCTGCAGCTTATATCAGTAACATTATCAGCTGTTGCAAGGAAACATATCTGACAGCTCTAGGTCTCAGGCATATGGCTGCTCACCTTGAAGTCAAGCCCTGGCTCTAACTGGGACACCTGCCAGCCTGGGCCCTGACTGGGACACCAGATGTACTTCTGACTGTCCAGAGAGGCTGGGCTGTCAGGAGTGCATCAGAGCAAAGCCCGGGTGGTAGAGCTGGGCTGGAGAAAGGACACCTGATTATCTGCAGTCTGTGAGAACCAGGCTGCACACTGGTAACAGCCCAGCATTATAGCGGACATGATGTTGATGATGATTAATAATTATAGTAGACATTCATAGAACATTGTAGGGACACCGGCTTAGTACAAATGCAGCAGCAGAGATACTGTCTGCCTTGCCCAGTGGAGGTGAGAAAGAGACAAGACCCAGGGCTGGAGAATGAGCGGAAGGACATTCCTTCTCCCTGGGGGAGAAGAGAGGGTGAAAGAAGGCTTTTGGGAAGACTTGGGGTGCGAGGAGAGGTTTGCAGCAGGTGAGAAGATGCCTGGAAGGCAGGAAGTAGAGAGAGTCTCAGGGTTTGGGGACAGGAATATGAGGAGCTGAGGAGGCAGCTGCAGTAAAAGGTAAAGGTAGGGAAGGAGATGCTGGACCTAGAAGAGCTGCCTCTGCAGCAGTGGGGTAGGGGAAAAGAGAAGACTTCTGGAAGAGGGTGGAGCTGCCATTAGAGCAGGCACCCATGGGATAGTCTTCAGGGGAGAAAGTTACAGTGATGAAGGAGAGGGGGCAAGTTCTGGGAGGAGTTCAGCCATGATAATAGCACAAGACGCTTGACACTGTGCTGCCTGGTATGCGGAGTTAGACAAGGGGAAGTGAGAGGCCTCCTGGTGCTCACAGGAGGACAGAGGGCAACCATAAGGACTGAAAAGGGAATGCTGCAGAGAGGCTTCTGAGTGCAGACAGACCCTGGAGTTCCTTCTGGCTTCCCGAGGCTACTAACCAGGTCCCTCTGAGTCCCCGCTTGGACCCAGCTGTCATGGAGCGGGATGCTGACTGCATGACAGATCCTGTTCTGAGAGGTGTGGGCAGGAGGGAGCTATTACATTGGTAACAAAATGAAAGCAGGTGACCAGGGCTGTAGCCCTGGATGCTGACTTAAAGGAGAGGCAGAAAAATAGCAGCTGCCATGCAGCTGCACAGTCACATCATGGGCATCAGCAGCCAGAAGTCATTGGTACCCCCCTGCATGGCCTCTGACCCTGGTGCCCAGCTGCCCTGCCCCACTTCTGTACTGTGCACTAACAAACCTAGACTAAATGGTTTCAGCTGGCTCAGGCGGCTGACTTCCTGAGCACAGTCCCTGTAAGCACATAGAGGTATTTGCACTTTCCCCTTTACCCCTGTTACTAGCAACCCTTTTAAGATTAGATTAACTGTGAATGGTTTTGAACTCTTTTATTTTCTACTATTCGTGTGACTTATTACTTCCCTGCACTCAGTTTTGACTGTGAAATCGGTGTATCCTGGTTCCCATGCCCTAGCACACCATGCTGATGCTCGTGTTTCCCATATACTGTAAAAGGAAGTCTGGTTTCAAACATCACTTTCATTCAAATAAAAACATACACCTGTACACAAGCAGCTGCCCCTGCCATGGCTCTTCAGCACACCTAGAGCCCTTTCAGATCTACTGCACAGCTCTCTACTATTCTCTCTCTCAAGAAGTAATAACATTTGCTAGTAGCCATAGTAGGCTACTTATCCAGTGATGGATGAGTCATTGGAGGGTGATAAGGCACACATATCTGCTGTATGTTATATAAATGTTTCTATTCCTATTAGGATTTTGTAAATCCTGTTGCAAAATCTGAATACTAGATTTTAAACTGGCCACCTCCTGTCTCTTTAACAAGCATTTAAAATATAGCAGTGTAAAAGCAGATCATGTGCTTGGAATGAGGAGATGGTAACAAAACTGGGAAGGAGCTGCACCCCACGGACTGCAGATCAGCTGCATTCTTCTTCCACGCTGGTCCAGTTACTCAGAGACAAGGTCTAGCTAGCCTACAGCACAGCACACTCCTCTGCAGAGGGCAGAGGTAGTGAGTGGCTGCAGAGGAAGGCAGCCCTGACAGCACGTCCCATCCTAGACAATCACAGCCCTACTCGGGCACCTGAGTGTATTTCATGGTGCTGTCACCTTTTACAGCAGTGATATTATATTCATTCCCATACAAGCTAAGCTGGAAGCAGAGGGGGAGAGAATGGAGCACAGCGCAAGGGAGAGAGAGATGGAGGGAACAAGACAGATAAGGAGAAGGACAGAGATAAAGGCCATAATTCTTTTGCAGGATGCATCTGTGGGAGTTTCTTGTCAATGGGGACTGCCTGTATGTCTGGGGAGGGGCTTGGCAGGGGGTGTCAGAAAGCAGCGGGAAACAGATACATACTGTGGGATGAGATGGAGACTGTGAATGTGGGAGATGGAAGATGAGTGATGGGGAAAGAGGGAGAAAATGAAAGAAAGAGGGGTAATGGAGAGAGAGCAAACATGAGAATGGGGAGAGAGAAGGATGGAGAAAAACAGCAGAGAAAAGGGGGGAGAGAGGGAAAGATGGCTGGTCTGAGAGCAGGTGAGTCATTTAATGGAGAGGGAGAGGGAAGCGCCACTTTGTGCAGGGCAGAGTCCTGCTCTGCTACTTCTCCTCCTCCAGGCTGACATGAGGAAGTGCACATTGCACACAATGGTGGGCCTCAATATTTGGGTTGGGGGATCACTCTTAAGGTATTTCTGGGCTCACCTCCCCTTTTCCTGATCTCCCAGGCTGACCACACCTGCTCACAATCCTGCTGCATCCATTAGTGGGAGGTAGTACCCATGTGGTATAGCCCCAGCAGGACTGTGCTGGCTGCCTCCCTTTGGTGGGCTTTCTGACTTGCAACCCAGGGTTGAATTTACCACGTGACTTGAAAGCAGAGGAGATAGGATCAGAGGCAGCACAGATGGAAAGAAGGGTGATGGGAAAGGGCTGAAAGAGGAGAGAGAAAGGAACCTGAGGGGATGGGGGGGATCTTGGAGGACATACGAAGCTCCCTGCCCTGCACAGCACAGCTCTGTCCTGTCTTGCCACCCATAGGTCCATGGAAGATGCTGCCTGAAACAGAGGTGGGTCCCAGAAAGATCCCAAGACCTACGACAATCCCAGGAAGAATGAGAGGACAAGCCTTACCATCCATATCCAGCCGCTGGATGATGACCTCCAGCTCCACCTCATTGGGCATGTAGCCCAGAGACCTCATGGCTGTGCCCAGCTCCTGCTTGGAGATGAAGCCATTCCCATCACGGTCGAACACCTTGAAAGCTTCCCGGATTTCTGCAGGGAGAGAGGAGAGCAAATATGCTCAGCAGCTGGTTTGCCCCATCATGCACGATAGTCCTGGCTCTGACCCCAAGGAATAAGCATAGACATGAAACAAGATTCCCTCCTCCTCCCCAAAGCAAATCAGACCCCCCTGCCAAACTCACTGGAAGAATCAGCTGCCTTGCCTGGGTAGTATCTCCCAGTGGGAGAGCACAGCTTCAGCTTGGTGTCTTCTATTCACAGAGGACTCTCACTCAACTCCCATACCAGCCTTTAATAGACTGAATCCTCCCAACCTTTCTGTGCAGAATGAGCCATTCTTCCCATTACACAGATGGGGAAATAAAGTGAAGGGAATCTCCCAGGTGGCAAGGGAAGTCTGTGGCAGAGTAGGGAACTAAACTGAGGTCCTGAATTGAACCAAGTCCAAGGTGAGTGCCCTTAAACCTCCCTTCTTCTTTGAATGGTATTCTGTCTACAGCAAGTACATGCCATTAGAAAACCATTTTCTAAAGAACTAAGCCACCAGTCTTAAAAATTATTCCGGCAGCCATGACTTGGCTGAACTGGGCACAATAGTAGCATTGTCACAATGATTTCTGGCAAATCTTCTTGCAAGTGTTGGATTCCCTGGTAGTTTAGTATATTCATTGCCTTTTGCCAACAGCCAGCACCTGCCATTTAGATGCAGACCTTTGAAACAGTCTTATCACATTTTAATAGATTCATTTTTAAAACCATAGAGCAGTGTCCATGCTGTTCCACCTGCACCTGGTGGAGTTTTTAAATGATGAGTGAACAACATTTTGAAAAGTATAGTCTATGTGAATTTTCAAACCATGAGCACCCAACAGTCACAGCCTGTACCAGCTGGCTTTGAAAGGGTGCCTCTCACCCACAGAACCCTTTATTCTATGTACATGAGAACTGATAGGAAACAGATATATCAGACCCACAGCAAGGCTACCAATTCCAAGCTCTAGGTGTCCTTCTTTGTAAATTTTAGAGGAAAGTAAAAATAGGACTAATAAAGGGAATTAGATTGCATCATTTTTAGCAGTATAGAGCAGCTTCTTGGGTCCGATCATTCAGCTGCAATGAGCAGGCCCTTAATGCATAAATTGTAAAACATCTGCCTAGGAGGGTCCAGATCATTGTCCCTATTTTACAAATGGGTAAACTGAGGCACCGGGAGGGAAAGTGACATGTCCAAGGTCGTGCAGTAAGTTGATAGCAGAGCTGGGAGGGGCCTGTAGGTCTCAACACTTAGCCACGCATGATGGCTTCAATCCAAACTTTTTGTGGTTTAGAAAGGGCTTTGTAACAAGGCCTAATTTGTAAGGAGAGCAGGGGCTAAAGCATCCAGGCTTTTATGTGACACATACAGGACCCATCATTTTGGAGGGCAGAACAAAGGCACAAATGCTCTGTGGGAGCTCTCAGGCTCGGAGGAAGTTGGCCTTAGCTGGAGAGCTGTGCTGTAAACACAATGTGTGTGAACACAACGACACCCTCCTGATTCCATGCAGGTGATTAAGTTTGTAGGCAGCGTTATGTCTTTACTTAACTATCAGCCTCCCTGTCTCATCAGCTGCTCTCTGGGCACTTGTCTGTAATTATCTCTCATTTCCCATTACTGTTATTCTAATTAATAACTAGACATTGCATTTCTAGAGCAGGGACATGCCCAAAGGACTCCCAGGGAATCTGCTAAGGAGAAGAGAGAGAGAGTGTGTGTGTATGTGCGTGTGTGCATGCGTGCGCATACACGCGTGTGCACAGGAGATCAAGAGAATTAATGGGACTGCCTGGTATTTGTACGTGGGTGTCAGCATGACATGGGAATGAATCTGTGTCCATGTGTGAGAACGAGTGAATATTTGCATGGAGGTGTATGTGTTTTGATGTACTTTGTGTGCACAAGGGAGTCATGTGCCCATGTGAAGGTGTGTACACAGGGGTGTGTGTATGGGCACTAGCAGTGCATTTGGCATCTGACCTCCCTTCTCTCCCTGACTGCCATCACACCCCACAAATGCCAGGCCAGTGGGGTCAGTCACCTTGGAGAGATTATAGTATCTCTCACACCTCACTTTGTTGGACCTTGAGCCTTCTGCTCTGGTACATAGGCTCAGAACAAGATAGAGCTGCATCCACCTGCCAGTTTGTAGGGCTTGAGAGGAAAGAGGGTGCTTTATAGGCACCCAAAGGGGGCTGATATTTCAGTCTGGGCCTTGGGAGGGAACCCTCAACCACCTTAGATCTCTTCCTGCCTGTGGCTCACTCACCTGATCCTGGTGATACACCACCCTTACATTCAGGTAGCGGTTCCCCTTGCCCCTTTCCTGCCCCTTTCTCTCTCCCTACCCACACCAGCACACTTATGAGCTTCTTCCCTATACTCCTCTGTGCCCTTCCTCACTCTGTGCCCTTCCTCCTTCTCTCTCCTGCTAGCTCCTGTCTGCCTTCTGTACCCTCCCATCACATCTGCTTTTATTCCCTTGGCCTGCTGGTCCATGCCCTCTCCACAGCCTAGTTCCTCTGTAGCCTTCCAGCACAGCTCCCACCCTCTGCCCTGTCTACTCAGCTGTCTGAGAGGCAACTCCCCTGCAGTACAGGGCTGGGAACTCTATACCCAGAGTATAGAGTATACATTATATAGAGATGGCAGCACCTTCATCCAGCTGAGTGGCTTTCAAGCACATCAGCACCTGCATCCAGCCTGGATCCCCAGGGACACCGAGTGCTCCTAAGGCCATGATCCCACCTGTTACAGAAGTTCCACCCCCTTGGGAAAGTGACTTTGAGGAAGGAGCAGGTGATTATCCAGGGATGAGTCAAGCCTCACCCCAAGGATCTCCCTCTGGGAGAGACAGTCCTGACTGGCCACTTAGGACCCTGGGCACGTGGGAATGGGGACATGCTGGCATGGCCAGTGAGTGCACACAGTTATAACTCCCCTCAATTACTGTTTCCATAACCATAAATGTCGATAAGAAGAATTATACCAGGTTCTCAGGGAAAGAGATTCAGACACCAACCTACACTGCAAGGTCTTTGCCTTGACTCCTTCCTGCCTGGACTACAGCAGGGAATCTGGTCTCATTTGCCACCGAGACACAACAGCAATCCTGGTTCTGTCACAGCCCAGCATGTGGGAGCCTCCAGCAACAGCGCAAGACTGCATTGCTCTGCTATAGCATAGTCCAACACCTGGGCACCTCCTGCACTGAGGCAGGACTGCATCCCCTCTACTGTTTCACGGTGCAACACCCAGGCACCACAGCACTGAGGCATGACATCACATCCATGATAAGCCGGGAGAGCATCCACCACTGAGACACTATTGCATCCTGGAGCTTTATGGTCCCTGCTTCACAGCCAGAAGAGCCCAGACAGATCTGAATGGAAAATGGCATCTGTTTCATGAAAACAGTTGAGGTTTCAGATTTTGTTTTTGTTCTGTTGAAAGGTGGTCCATAACCACAGGATGGCCAGGGACCAGAGGCTGCTTTGGGATGAAGAAGGGCTAGTTGCAAGTCCTTCTTTTCCCTGATTAAAGCTGTTGATTGTAAGCACATGGGAGTGACCACGTCCAAGGTGAGTACACTGCTCACTAGGCTGTAGTCACTGCCATTTACCCAATAAATATGTAAGAGTTTACGCTATGTAAACAGCTCTAAGAATTGTTCCAAGACAGATCTAATAGCCCTGTGGCTAAAGTGATGTGGGATATCCAGGTTCAAATCCTGGCCTCTTAGCAGACCTGTAACTCCCACTGCTTTGGGGACTGCCTTAACCACTTGGCTATTCTGTGTCTTGATCTCATCTTTCTCCCTCTCTGGCTTTTCTAGAGGGAAGAAAAATGAAAGAAAGGAAAAGAGCAGATAAATCAAGTGAGAAATTGGCTATTTGAAATAAAGAGCAACATAAACATAAATTAGAAGTTGCATAATGTGAGCCTTCAGCTCTCCCTCTTTCAAAGGAATTCAGTGCTGACGAAAGATGATGGATTCACAGCCCCAAGCCCATGTCCAGGGAACAGGTACAGCATGGATAGCAGCTACACATTTCCACTCCCATCCGCAAAGTGCTGCACAGAGCCGCAAGACTCATGCTAGGGATGAAAGGGCTTCATGAATGTAAGTAGCCAGTATTGCAGATTGTGGGCATCAGTGACCTTGAGGCAGAGCGCTGGACTAGAATCAGGGCTGTCCAATTGGTGGCCCATAGACTCCCACCATGGCCTCTCCAAGGTTTGGATGCCGCTCTTGGCCATCTGTTGACTCCTCCTGTTTATGCTGTAAACACCCTGCAACCCCCTTCCCCGGCCACCAGAGTCTCCAGGCTTCCTCTCCTTCCTCCAGCTTCTGCTTCCTGCCATTACCCTGGAGGGGGAAGTGGGGTGTGGACAGCCCTGGACTAAAGATCTCTTGAGGTCTCTTCTAGCTCCATTTGCTACAATCCCTTGGTGTTAAGGGAATTGGCTAAAAAACCTACCCACTCACTATCACTGCAAGCAGAATTTGAGTTTGATTGGAAAAAAAAAGAGTGATCCTAACCATTACCAACCCATCAATGTCTGCAATCCTAAACACAACATATATGAAGAAAAAAAATCACTAAGGCAAGTAGAGCAAGAAACTGTGAGCAATTAAGCAGAATGGGTTATAAAGGAACAAATCTTGCTATGTAAGCTTGATTGTTTGCTTTTAATATAATGGCAAATTAGTTGATGAAGAGAATGCAGCTCCTATAATACAGAAGGATTTCAGTAAAGTGTTTAACAGAGCCTCTCATGAAATGTTATCTGTAAAATGAATTTGGCTTGGTTAAGAGTGCTGATATAGACTAGAAACTTGGTTGAGGGACTGTAAGCCAAAGGTAGCATTTGAACGGTACTAGACTGAACCACATGGAGGTGTCTGGTTGAGCATGGCAGTGATCTTATGAAGATCTCATTTAATATCTTCATGAATGACCTACATAAACACAAAGTTAACCTTTATGCTTCAGGACAGAGAGAGGGGAATCATTTTCATACCAGATGAGGGCTGTGAGGATGAAGGCTTGACCCTTCTCTTCCTGGTCAGTCTAACTTATTCTTGCCCTTTGCAGCAAACTGATGCAACAGAACCTGAGTGTAAAGTTCAATGGACTGCATTCAGTGAGGTCTACACTGGTAAAAGTTACATGCTGAAGGGACTGGGGGAAGGTGTAAGTGACAGCAAAGCTTTTAAAAAGATGTCTCACTTGGACTGAAGGGCTCCCATTGATGGAAATTCCATGACACCCTTAGGAAGGTAAGATCACCCCTG